CCTTTTTTTTTTGTTTGTTTGAAAATGGCACACACTGTACTGTGTGGTATTGTGCGTAACCGCTGCACAGCTTGGTGGGACAACGAAAGCCCGCCTACCTTGGTGTGTGAAGTAGCTTCAAGCTTTGCCAAAGGAGCAGGACAAGCCTATACATGGATGCATCATGCATTGCATTGCAATGTCCCAAAGATATCGGATCGGATGGGCTAGTGTAATGGAGTGCATATGCCACACCAACAACTGAAACAAACCGCTGCCACGCATATATACATTATATTCCCGATCGATTCTGTTTGCAGCTGCAAGTTGTGCCGAAATTAAAGGGAACCAATAAGCAAGTGATGACGATGAGCAAAGTGGTGGCCGAGGCCTGTCATCATCAGCATCATATGCCGCTAAGCTCTCTGGATCTCGCATTACCCTGAGAGGCTGAGACTGACAGCCCGCCTGGCATGGCATGGATTTCCTCGTACGGATGATCCGGGGAGACCGACGCATCACATGCACGCGTCGGTTTCGCACGAACATGGGAGCGAACGCGCGAGCGAGAGAGTAGTGGCCCAAACGCGAGCAGAGCAGCAAGTAGGGCAGCAGGTGGCAATACCAACAACGAAGCGAGGCCGACGCGTCCCGCGGCGGGCATACGTCTACGTAAACCAACCAACGGCAACGGCCGCCTCACCAGCTACAGCTAGCCACGCCATGCAAACCAAAACCACCGTCCCCATCGTCTATTCAGCGCCTTGTTCGTCCGTTGTTGTTGTTGTTGCAGGAGTAGTCCAGCAGCAATTCTGGCCGTCACCATGCAGAGCGCGCGCGCGCCTACTACTCCTAGCCTCCTAGGTACATACTCCTAGCTAGCAGCGCTTCGTACCTGATCGATCGTCCAAGTCTTGGACCATGCTGGAAGCAACAAAGCGATCGGCCGCGCGCGGCCGGCCGGCACGGCACGCATGCCCTTGATTGGCCTCTATCTCGCGTACCACGACGGCACGAGCACGACCGCGCACGAGCAAGCGGCCGTACGTACGTGTCCGGCCGGGCGGGACGCTGCACGCATGCGCTGTCGCGCGCGCGTGAGGCGCGGGGCCGCCCGAGCCCGAGCCCGCGACCGGCCACCTAACGGCTAACGCTAGCTAGCTCTCCATCACGTACGCAGCGCACCCGCGCGTGTGGTACGCTCGCCGAGCGGCGAACGAACGGCGCCGCGAGAGCGTAGGCTCGCTTTCTCCAACTCACGCTTCCTCCTCCCCTCCGATCCCCCTTGTGGTCGATCGTGGGCATTGTGGCGTTCGCAAGTCACCTCGCTCGACCGTTGGACTAGCAGGCTAGCTCTCGGTCTCGGACAAGCACTCGGATCAATCGGCTAGTAGAGTGCTAGTGGTAGCCAGTAGGCGCTATCATTCGCCGTTGCTCCGCAAGCTACGTACGTACCTGCACCACGGCAGAGGCATCAGGCATCCAGTAGTGGCAGCACGTTCGTAGTCGTACCTACTACGCGCTAGCTAGTACTCCATACACACAAGTTGTGTGCGATCGATCGATCACCACGCATTGCCAGGCTACTAGCTAGCGTCCGATCTCTCTCGATTGGTTTCGAGCTGTACAGCGACACATGTTTTCTTCCAAAATTTGGATGCATGGCTCCGATCCGTGCACGGGCGGCCGGTCTGCAACGAGAAAACTGTTGTTTGTTGCCACCAAGAACGCGGCCGGCAGACCTACCGCGCTCGCTGGAACCCCCCGCAAAGCATGTGTTAACGCAACTACCCGTGCCAAAACAAAAACTTCAACGCCATCTTCTGATGCGCTGGACGACGGCAGCAGCTTTTTTGACCTGCCGCTGCTAGGCCGCTGCCGTTTTCTGGCCGGAACTCTGGGTGATTTTGGCGAATCGAATCGACCGATGGATCCATCGGTCGCAGGCTCGCGGCTGGTGGACGAAGCAAGCTAGCACATGGCCACGGCCACACCCGCGGTGCCGTACAGTGCAGGCGACTCGTGCGCGCCGTGCTGCTGCTTTCTTGCTTGCTTGGGTGTCTTTTTGCTGCTGTGGCTGTGCGCCTGTGAGCTTATCCAACATCCATGTACTAAAGCTTTATTTAGATTCCAAGTTTTTTCACTCTCTCTCCATCACATCAAATCTTTAGACACATGCATAGAGTATTAAATGTAGATAAAAAAAAACTAATTACACAGTTTGATTGTAAATTACGAGACGAATCTTTTGAGCCTAGTTAGATCATAATTGGACAATAATTATCAAATACAAACAAAAATATTACAATGCCAAATACTAATTTCTAACCTCAATCTCAACGAGCCCTAACTCCTGCCCGTGTGATCACGCACAACTGTCGTCTGTGCAACATCTGTACGACGACAGTACGCGTGCGCGCAGGTCTCCTTTTCCCTTCAATGGCCTGTTTATTTTCCCTCCAAAACATCAATTTTTTCAAGATTTTTCATCACATCAAATCTTTGAACGTATGCATGAAGCATTAAATATAAATAAAAAATAAAACTAATTACACAGTTTAGACGAAATCCAGCTTGCATCATTGGAACCGCACTATATGATTGGATAGTGAAAGTTGATCATGTCTTATGTGTGCTAACGTGCATGATCCCACATAGCATCAATCTTGAGTTTGCCTGCGCAATAAAATTACTTCAATTTGATGTTGTGATATGATTGGCCAAGGGCATTAATGATTGCCATGCGACAACAACATACACCATAACAAATATACACGAAATAAGTTCACGAAAAATAGGCAAATTACCGTTTTTCCTGCCAAATATTTTAGCAACTAAACTGGGCCCAAGTACAAGGATGAGATCGATGCCCTCGCATCTGATGGGGCCCTCCGGGGAGGCCGTGCTGCCCTGTTGTCTCTTGTTCTTGTCTGCACCACATGATGGCTCCGCTCAACTCAAACCAAAGTAACCGTAATGCATGTAGTATTTCATACTCACGTTCAGTACTCGGTAACTGTCAGTCTCAGGCTTCAGCTTTTCTTGCTTCGTTTTCTTATGTTCTTTTTCGGACATTTTAGTATTGAAGCCTTGAAGGACCAGCTATTGGTCTAGTGGACACGAGTTCCACGTAGTACGTACTTACTGAGTATTCTTTCACGCACTAAGGTCCTTTTCTGAAATCTGAATATATATTGAGGCAGCACTAATGTCAACACCCTGACGCATGCTTTTACCGTTTACGCTAAACATGCACTGTTTGACTGTTGTCGACGCCGCTTCTTTCCCCGACACTGAAATGATTGGGCGAGCGATTCATCACAGCCATCCTTCAGAAGTTACCACCAGCTTAGTACGCGCATTTCCTGTCAGTTTCCTTTCCTTCTTTCCATCTCAACTACAGCGAGGTCATTAACGAGAATGACGTGTGTTGGTACTTTTGCTTGAGTACATCTCACAATACACTGGCAATCGAAAGCGAATCCACCAGTAACAAATCTGCTCATGCATGTTGTACTCTCTGCAGATCGAGTACTCCTATACTCCTCCTATGTGTGTTACTGTCAGAACAGATCGGATCCACTGCAGACGGGAAATCATCTAGAAGGCGAGATGTTAAATCCGCTGTCATCACTCCCTCGAGCCGTAAAACGACTGATACTACAGTGAAGCAGAGCAGTGCAGCGAACTGAGGCTGCGGTGAGTCACTCAACGTGACGACCCCCAATTTCTTCCGGGACGACAGTGCAACCCCAACCGTCGGCGGCGGCCGCTATCGGCGGATTGACAGGGCAGACACCGGCGATCACCCGTTCTATTTATTTATTACTATATATAAAAAAAACTTAATACATCTGTTCGTTTCTCTCGTAATCCGTCTTTTTTAACTTGTTTTTTTTCAGTCGAAATAAATTAGCTAAAACACTATTTTAAATTTTTTTCAGCGAAGTGAACGAGGCCTACGTCATACAGGCAAAATCTCCGTAGACGAGGCCACGATCGAATCAGTAGGCTGTAGACGAGGCGACGAGGGCAGGACACACATGTTCGTGCTGCAGGGTGTTGTACGGACGGGATGGGACGCGGAGGTCGGCAGGGAGGCCATGGCCATTTATTTACTAGTACACGCGACGTGATTGGTGAGGCCGATCGAGATTAGCGACGTGATTAGCCCAAGAGTGACCGGGCACTCGGGCCGGGCGCGCGGCTGGCTCTGGCTGGCCGCCGGCTCCGTGGCGCTCCGCTCCGTTTCCACAGTGGACCAGAGCAAGCTGGAGGAGCGCTGGGCGAGTGAAAGGAAAAGGAAACGTGACGACGCGATGGGAGGAGGAGGTTGTTTCGCGTCGTACCAAGGGCGCGGTCGCGATTAATTAGACGTAACTCGCGAGTCCACGGGGCGCATTCATGGCTGGTTTTCTCTTCCACAGTTGCCATAAGCAGTGTTTAATTAGTCACTCGTAACAGGATGGCAAGAAATTAGAGGGGAAAATGTAGTACTAATGCAAAGGCCATGTCGCCAACTAACGCCGTGTTAAGGAGAGAGGGGGAGAACCGGAGAAGTTGCTCTCTTTGCTCTTTCTCTCTCCTCTCGCGTCCAGCACGGTGCACTATTTTAGGCCGCCACGGCGCCCACCATCTCTCAGAAACGGGAGGGAGTCGAGGTATCTTAAGCTCCAATTCATTGGCGCGCGCGAGCCCGGCCGGGCGCACTGCACCTTGCTTAGAACCCACTTGATCGCTGCCTCACCTTGTTCGTCTCTCACCTCACCTTACCTCACCTCACAGGCTCACACCAGAGAGAGTTGAGTGTGTCTGTGTCTGTGTGCAGGGCTGCGCGCAACTAGTTCTTGGTACGCACGCTTCCCCATATATACCCCCCTGCCCATACATAGAGCTAGCCACAAGCAGCTACCGATCGCCATTGCAAGTGGCAGCGGTCGATCACCGACGTTGCCCGCTCTCTTAATTTGTCGCCGTCGTCGTCGGAGCAGAGAGAGAGAGAGCGCGCGGGGGAGGGGAGAATGGGACGGCTCTCCTGTGGCGGCGGCGTGCAGCCCAAGCTCCGCAAGGGCCTCTGGTCGCCCGAGGAAGACGAGAAGCTGTACAATCACATCATTCGACACGGCGTCGGCTGCTGGAGCTCTGTCCCCAAGCTCGCAGGCAAGCAACACAACAAGCTTACACACTCTCACTGTTGTATCCATCAGTCTGTCGTCGTCGTCTTCCTTGTACACTGCCATCCATGGCGCGCCTTGCCTGAATTGCCTTCTCGCTCGTTGTGGTGCCGTGCGTGCAGGGCTGCAGCGCTGCGGCAAGAGCTGCCGCCTGCGTTGGCTCAACTACCTCCGCCCGGACCTCAAGCGCGGCAGCTTCTCGCAGCAGGAGGAGGACCTCATCGTCGCGCTCCACGAGATCCTGGGCAACAGGTCGGTAACAGCCGTCTCAATGCATTCGTCCAGCCTCTCCCGCGTGTCCGCAATGCGGCGGAGGGAGATAGCTAGCATTATCAAATTGGCAACTGTGTTCATGGTCATGGCCGGCCTGATGGACTAAGCGAATTGTTCATGCAGGTGGTCGCAGATCGCGTCGCACTTGCCGGGGCGGACGGACAACGAGATCAAGAACTTCTGGAACAGCTGTCTCAAGAAGAAGCTCCGGCAGCGGGGCATCGACCCGGCCACGCACAAGCCAATCGCCGCGGGAGCCGCCGCGGAGAAGGGCGCAGCGCTGCCTGACGCTCGGGACCACGACCGTAAGCCCGGAGGAGCCGACACCGACGCCGACGGTCTCGCCCAGAGCAAGCAGCAGCAGCCGGCGGCGGCCGTGTTCGACCCGTTCCCGGTGACCGACTTCGGCTTCGACCTGAGCGTGGCGGCATTGTACGTCGGCCCGTACGGCGACGACGACGTCGGCGTCGTCGGCAAGGCGTCGCCGGACGCCGGGTTCGTGGCCGACTACAGCAGCGTGCTGGACGTGTCGGAGAACCTGGGCTACGGGGAGAGCTCCAGCAACAGCAGCAACTGGAACTGCGGCGCGGAGATGAGCAATGCCGTGCTCGACAGCGAGGTGCTGCACTGGGCCTCCGGCGCTGCCGCCGCCAAGCCGGAGCCCTACACGGAGCTGGAGCAGCAGCAGCACAGTGGAGGCTACGCCGGCGGGGGGCAGGCGGTGGACGACGACGACGACGACGCGCTGGGGCACAAGTTCTTGCAGCCCTGCGGCCAGGAGCAGAGCCTGGCGCATTTCGACTTCAACTTGGAATACTTCTGAACTCTGATCCTTTTTCCTTTTTCTTTTTGGCCCTTCATTCATCTTTGCCTGCCTTTCCTCCCTGAATTATCCACCCATTCCCCTACGTTTTTACAGACAAGAGGAAGAAGAAGACGCATTTGGAAGATTAGGGATTGTATACGTAGTAACCAATATGATAATTTTGTCTAGCCCATGATACACACTCTCTCTTTTCTTTTACTCCTCTGTATACTCTGCTCCTGCTTGGTCAGAGGAACAAAAGACATTGGTACATACGAGATTATTGTGTACTACACTGTATACAAAGGTGTTTCTTTTTTGTAAAGAATAAATAAATTAAACCTGCAGTTATTTCCCTTGTGAAAGTGAAACGAATTGGGCCTGTTCGTTTGAATTTATCAGCCGGCTTATCAGCTAGAATCTACAGTATTTTGAGTACCACATAAAGCACCTGTACTTATTTTTCCTGAATTTTTTACTCCTCTTGTCGGCCTTACTGTTATTTTCTTAGGCCTTGTTTAGATTGAAAAAAATTTCAACCCGATGAATAGTAGCACTTTCGTCTTATTTGGTAAATATTGTCTAATCGTGGACTAACTAAGCTCAAAAGATTCATCTCGTGATTTCCAACTAAACTGTGCAATTAGTTATTTTTTTTACCTACATTTAATGCTCCATGCAAACGGCTAAAAATTGATGTGATGGAGAGAGAGTGAAAAAACTTGGAATTTTGAGGGTATCTAAACAAGGCCTTACTCTGATCTCTTTCTCTCTCTCTCTCTCTCTCTCTGGTCGGGCTGGAGTACGTGAAGGAGTTCGCCAGGCTTGCTGAAAGGTTCTTGCTTGTTTACGTTACGCCGGTTGCTGTCGCGCTTTTATCCTTTTGTCCTGATTTGTATCTCACGAAACCAGAGTGGAATGGAAGATGGTGGTAGCAGCAGCAGCAGCGAAGTTTGTGTTTGTGACAGCAGTGCTCTCCTCTCCTGCAAGGCAGGGCGATGAAAAATATTCAAACCAAAAATATAGCCGGCCATGCCAATGCAATGTGGTTTGGTTTGGTTTGGTTTATTATCTCGGCGACGGACGGACGGACGGACGATGCTTGCAGCACACTCCCGTTGTTAAAGACGGCATTGGCTTGTGGGCGAATCCTCCCCCGGCTGCCCGGCAGCGTCCCTTTCGCCAAGGTCATCACGTCAGTCCTAGGATCGGAGGGGGCTCGATCCGCTCCTTCACGGTGCTCGACTGCTCGCGTCGCTCGGATAGGATCGACAAGGACAAATCCGATGGCTTCACTGTTGTTGACTAATGGCCACAGTTACGCGACGGTCGCGCGCGGCTACGATCCGTCTCCATTTCCACAGGCTACTACTAATTAGGCTTAAAACGTTCGTCTCGCAATTTTCCACCAAACTGTGCAATTAGTTTTTCTTTTCGTCTACATTTAATGTTCCATGCACGGGCCGCAAACATTCGATGTGACAAGTACTGTAGCAACTTTTTAGAATTTGGGGTAAAACTAAACCAGGCGTAAGCTGGAAGCTATAGCTAGCTACTGCAGGGATGGACGTGTCCGTAGGGGGATGAATGGGCGCACGTCAGTTTTGTCGCTTGCCATGGCAATGGCATCACCAGATCACCTCGTCCGCTCGTCGTGCAGCTGCAGGCTGCAGCGGACGTCGGGAGGGAGAGCTGAGCTGTAAGCCTGATGTAGAGGGGAGAGCGTTGGGGCCAGACGATCTGGGCCGCCTTTGGAAGGCGAAGGCCTACTTTTGCGGGCATCATTTTTGGGCCAGCTCAGCCTCATGTGCGGGCAATTACGTGGCGGATAAACACCCCCGGGGCAGCCTCATGTGCGCGCTAATCAGGGGGTATTTATGAGACGACGAGGAGACACAAGTATGGACATGATGGAGCTTAGCTGGGGTGTAACCGTGTAAGCAAGTATAGAGCAAGCCCTCCAGCTTGGCACCGCTCCTTGCACTGCCAGCTGTCGCGCAGGCTTCACTCGTCGCGAGGCCCCTGCCGTCCGCTGATCTGCCTGTGTGCCGTGCCGTTCTCGGTTCACCCCTCGCATTCACAGGCTCGACGCAGCTACCAGCGGCACGGGCGACGGGCCGAGCAGAGCAGCAGCATGCTATTCGTGAGGCTGCCAGAAGATGAGGCCGCTGCAGCATGCGCCGCGCGGCGTGCCGCACCAATCTTGATCAGACTAAAAAGGTGCAGAACGGCGAGGATATCAGCGATTCAGAGTGAAATCTGAAATGACACAAAGTCACTTGGCGAATAAAAGTATACAGATACAATGCTACTATACAGAAAGGAAAACGCAGCTACAGGTTATAATATAATGCTGCATCAAGCGCAGCTCACAGCTTCATGTTAAAAGCTCGCATCTTCTACAGAAAATTAATACAAGGGTACTGTAGACCGGATTTGCGTCTTCCGAATGCTACCGTTAGCAAACAAACAAAGGAGAAAGCCACCAAAAAAAATTCACCAAATCCCTTGTTACACGGTGGTCCATAGGCTTCAGTGTGACGGAGTAGCTTGTTGATTTGTGTTAGTTTCAACGCGCAGACTGTTTTCACGACGGTACATAGACTCTGCGCCCTGAATTTGCACAGAAACTGTTAGTTAAGTACTAAACCCACTGGGTCGGAGACAAGGTGCCATATACAACATTAATCCAAAGTTCATGACCCTCAAGCCTCGAGCTCTTTTTGGGTCGCAGCAAAAATAGATGGAGCAGCAGAAAACACAAACAAAAACTTACTTGGAATATAGTTCCGAGCTTTTTCAACGCTTCGGCTCGCAACTTCAAGACATCTTTGGAGACCGTGTTATCTCTCAGAACCTGAAATATCAAAGATCATAATTTCTAATTTAATATGCATAGCGGCATGTATGTGCAATCTTTGATCCAAGAACTCTAGGGGCACTCAGGACTTACCGCTTGGCAGACGCGTGAAAGTGTTGACTCAATATCAACCACATTAATTTTCCAAAGTGAGCTAAGCATGGCATCTTTTTTCTCCTCAAAACTCTTCATAAGTTGTTCTTCACTGTTCTCACTTCCCTCCATCTTTTTCATCCCTTCTTGAAGTTGTATTAGAGAGATAGCACCTACAACGGAAACTCGTTACCAGCGATGAGACCACACATGGATTCAACAAAGCACTAAAAGGTGTCCTTGGAAGTACCTGAAGCAGCATTAACCTGTGATTTAATGTGGTGTCCTTTGTCTCTAACCCACTCAGCAATAAACGGTACACCCATATAAATTCTACTTTTCCCAAGTTCTCTTGCTGCTTGTCGCACATAAATATACCCAATAGTGTGAAGCATAGCCTCGCCAAATGCTGAAATTTTTGTTTGAGATAAGTTAAAAACTTGGAAAGCCAATACTGAAATATCATATGTTCAAGGAATAAAATATAGACATCAGAGGAATAACGCTAATCAGTGCAAAGCACAATTAAACCTATCAGTAGGGCGAAATCATGCTAGGTGTGTCGTCTTCCCCAAGTAAGCGGGGGCGCGGGGGCGACTTTGACCCACCGCCATGGCCACACCCACCTTGGTTGACGACTCGACCCCATCGCCCCAGGCCCGCACCGAGTGCTCCCCCACCTGTCGGTGATGAGAAGGAGGGGAAGCGGATCCGGGCACGCGATACGGCTGGCAAGGATTTGATCCACAACGAGGAGTTGGTAAATTTTTTCGCCAGCTATGGGTTATTCGGCCCTTATTTGTTTGCCTTAGTGATGGATGAGGTCACAAGGGACATACAAGGGGACATCCCTTGGTGTATGCTTTTCGCGGACGATGTAGTGCTAGTTGATGAAAGCCGGATATGAGTGAATCAGAAACTGGAGTTATGGCGGGAGACTTTGGAGTCCAAAGGTTTTAGACTCAGTAGAACTAAAACTGAGTATATGAGATGTGACTTCGGCACTACTACTCGGGAGAAGGAAGATATTAGTTTGGAAGGTCAAGTAGTGCCTAGGAAGGATACCTTTCGATATTTAGGATCAGTGCTACAGAGAGATGAGGATATTGATGAAGATATTAGCCATAGAATCAAAGCAGGGTGGATGAAGTGGTGCCAAGCATCTGGTGTCCTATGTGACAAAAGGGTACCACGGAAGCTAAAAGGCAAGTTTTATAGAACGGCGATTAGACCTGCTATGTTGTATGGTGCAGAATGTTGGCCCACGAAAAGACAACATATTCAACAGATAAGTGTCGCGGAAATGCGTATGTTGCGTTGGATTTGCGGTCATACAAGAAGGGATCGAGTTCGGAACGATGATATACGTGATAGATTAGGGGTAGCACCAATTGAAGAAAAGCTTGTGCAATACCGGTTGAGATGGTTTGGACATGTCCAACGGAGACCTCCAGAGGCACCGGTGCGTAGTGGAATCCTAAGCCAGAATAGTAACGTGAAGAGAGACAGAGAAAGACCGAAGTTGACTTGGATAGAGGCAATAAAAGGAGACTTGAAAGGATGGAATATACCCAAAGACTTAGCCTTAGATAGGAGTGCTTGGAAGACAGCTATTCACGTGCCTGAACCTTGATTGCTTCTGCTGGGTTTCAACTCTAGCCTACCCCAACTTGTTTGGGACTTAAAGGCTTTGTTGTTGTTGTTGTTGTTGTTGTTGTTGTTGCTATGGGTTATTCATTCCCCACCCCCACGCCGTCCTAGGGTTCCAGTTACACCGGCGGCGGCGGCAGAGGGGACGTTGTGCTGGATCCGTAAGGATCTAGTCCAACGGAGGGCATTCAGGCCTGAGGATTGCTTCCCCGAGAAAAGCTCAGATAGGATCGACACCAAACCAATCTCAATCAGCTTTTCTCTGGAGATTTGGGGCAAGGACGGGAAGGAGGCGTACGCAGCTGTTCTCAAGCGAGGCATGGGTGATGGAGGGAGATGGGTCTGGCAACCGGAGCAGCGACCGCGTTCTCCACTGGAGCAGCGTCCGCGCCCTCCACCGCCATACCATCCACGCCCTCCACCACCAAACCAGCAGAGGTACCCACAACCCCAAGCCTACCCCCAAATTCAGAATCAGGGAGGAAGGGATCAAGCTCAGGGACGCAGGCCGCAGCAGAGAGATGTGCGCGAGATCAAGCTCCACGAACAAATCAGCGTCCGCAAGCTAATCCACCTCCGCAGCGTCAAGGTGGGGGACAACAGAGTCGAGGGCAAGGCAGCCAGCAAGCTGGACTCTTCCTTTCACCATTGATCCAAGGTACCGTAAACTCACTTGTTACAATTGTGGTGAGCCTGGCCATTTTGTTGGCTACTGCACTCGACCAAAGGTCTGTTTCATATGTGGAGTTCCTGGGCACCATATGAATGACTGCCCACAATGGAAGATGGATCACCCAACTGCTGCTTACCTAGGAAGTGCTAGTCTGGGATTAGGCTTTTATCACGTTGAAGTTCCTAGTCTGGAATCTACTCAGTGGCTGAATTTGACAAATTGTGGAGTGGTTCAAGTCAAGACAGGACAGATTACTTTGGCTGAGTTAGAAGGAGAGTTATCTGAAATTTACTTTAGGGAATGGCCTTGGCAAATTAGAGAGCTAGAAGTGGGTAAGTTCTTAGTGAGATTTCCACCCCATAAGAAGGTGGCTGATATCAAGAACTACCCGTCCTTTAATTTGAGGAAGGAGGGAGTGCAGGTTGAAGTCTTAGAATGGATTGGGGACATACCAGAATATGGTGAGCTTCAAGAAGTGTGGGTTCAGATCTTGGGTATCCCTCCGAGATGGTGTCACTGGAAAGTTTTTGCACAAGTAGCATCAGGATTTGGATTGATGATAGAGGTAGATTGGGCTACGCTGTTTAAAACCTTTTATAGGTGGTCAGGGTAAAGGTGGCAGTTAAAGATGCCAGCAAGATACCTCATGAGAGACTGTACGAGATGAATTTGAAGCTGTTTCTGATATCAATCATTGTCGAAGGGGAAGAAGCTTCAGCAGAAGGAAAAAAGGATGAAGGAGGGGATGATGGTGATGGTGATGGCAAAGGTGAAGACAAGACAAATGATGACCTGAACAGTAACAGAAAGGACACTGATGGAGCAAACAAAAAACCTGGGAATACAACTAAGACTCCCAACATTCAGCAGTCAAAACAGAACTCTGGGTACAAGACAGTTAGTGGTCTGGAGATGTTATCTGAAAGGATGGATTTCCTGAATCAAGAGGAACAGCTCATGAGGGCTATGGAAGAAGCACCACCACAGTTGCTATCAACTCAGGGGATGTTTCATGTGGGTGAATGTTCTGGGGCAAAAGATACAGCTGGCTGTACAAATTTGTCCTCGATGCTAGAGGAAAGTATGACTTCAGTGGAAGGCACAGTAAAGGAGTTGACTCCTGAAACACTTATGAAAACAACAGAGCTTAATGTAGCAGCCAATGCTACTCCAGCTATTCACATTGATGTGGATGATTGGAAAACACCTGAAGTGGGCATTAAGAATGACTCGGATTGCCACATAGTGGGGAACAAGTTCTACAACCTTATCAATGAAGAATCTCATCATTCCAAGTGGGAAGAGTTCAGAAATCTAGCTAGAGAAGGGATTACTGAGGAATGTTCTATGCTATTGAAGAAAATGGAGTTGGAAGACTCGGATGAGGAATATGACCTCTTGGATGATGTTATGGACGAGGGAGTGCAGCAGGAGGCAGCGGTTTCTCTGGGAGACTTGGGGCTGTTGAACAACAAAGAAGACGCACTGCCAGGAAAGGTATCAGATGAAGAAAACAAGAAGCAACAGAAAAGGAAACCTAGATGGGGACCTGTGGAAAGATTTCCAAGGCCAAGAAGAGAACAAGAAGATGGGCGCACTATGCTGCAGAAAGCTCAAGATTTAAAGAAAATCAAGAACTTGGAAAAAGGTATTCCACCCAAATCTTTTGCTTTTGAAAGCAACGCAACTTTACTTCATAAAGCTCAGTGTGTTAATATTAGCTTTGGTAATGATACTATAGAAGCTAATAAATTGGTTGACCAATTAAAAGAAAATGAGAAATTGAGTTGTGAACAGTTTAGGGAAGAAAACCCTGAGGTTAATCTTCCTGGGGATTTAAATGTAGAAGTGTTAGATACTGATTTTCCACCTTTAGGTGAGATCGACCAAACTGATAAAAATGAGGAGAGTACACTGGTTGACCAGTCTTGGGCTCAAGTTGTCTCTACAGGCAAAGCCCAACAAAACACTCAAACTGTTATCAAATGATAGGCGCGTTTTGGAATGTGAGAGGCCTGAATAAAGAAGGCCGGCTTCAAAGTGTTACAGATTTTGTAAATGAGAATAAACTTGATTTTGTGGGGTTCCAGGAAACAAAAAAAGAATCTATTAATGATTCCTTCTTAAACTATGTGCACAAAGGTTTTGCTTGGCAAACTTTGCCGGCTAAAGGTACTGCTGGCGGTATCTTAGTGGGGGTGAACGAGAGGAAATTTGAAACTATTGCTTGGAAGATTGGGTCTTATTGTGTAGCTGGTATTTTGAGGAATAACTTAGATCATTTTGTTTGGAGACTAATAGTGGTGTATGGATCTCCCTATGAAGAAGGTAAATCTGAGTTTTTGCTTGAAATAGAAAGCCTCCTAGCTAACTGGGATGGCCCAACAGTAATAGGTGGTGATTTTAATATCACAATTTCGGCTAAGGAAAAAAGCAATGGTATAATTAATCATAAATGGGCGGATAGTTTTCAGGATTTAATTAATAAATGGGGTCTGATTGAGCTTAAAAACTCAACCAGATCCTTTACCTGGACAAATAACCAAGACAAACCTATTTTGGCAGCCATAGATAAGATTTTTTGCACGGTTAATTTTGAACAGAAGTACCCCCTAGCTTTTGTTACAGCAAAAGCTAGAGCAGGAAGTGATCATGTTCCACTAGTTCTCAATTTCGGAGTGACTGAACCTAAGAAACCGAGCCTGTTTAGATTTGAGAAGTGGTGGTTAGAACAACCCGGGTTCAAAGAGCTAGTTAGAGATATTTGGAACACCCCTTGTGCCTTTGATGACCCTTTGGACATCTGGCAGTTTAAAACTAGATTGTTTAGGAAAAAAGTCAAGGGTTGGGCTATAAATAGCAATGCTAGCATTAGGAAACAGAAGCAGCTGCTCCTTAAGGAGTTTGAAGTCTTAGACATTCTTCAAGAAGAAAGGATCCTTACGGATAAGGAGAAAGAGAAGATGAAGAATATTGAGGGGGAGCTTGAAGCCATTTGGAGGCTGGAGGAGATGAAGGCTAAACAGAGGTCGAGAGACAGGAACATTAGAGAGGGTGATAAAAACACAGCATATTTTCAAGCTGTGGCTAACCAAAGAAATAGGAAGAAACGTATTATTGGTCTAGATGGACCAGATGGTTGGATAGATGAGAATTCTAAGATGTTAAGCCATGCGGTAGATTTTTACAAATCTCTGTTTGGTCAGGAAAAGAGTAGTGGAGTTAAGTTAGATAGCAACTTTTGGGAAGAAGAGGAGCTGGTCACTTCTGGGCAAGCTGAGCTGTTGGAAGCCAACTTCTCCGAAGAGGAGGTGAAAGAAGCTGTTTTTGGGTCTTATGCTGATGGGGCACCTGGCCCTGATGGTTTGGCTTTCCTTTTCTATCAAACCTTTTGGGAGGTTATTAAAAAGGATCTAATGAGGTTGATTGATCGCTTTTGTGAGGGTAACTTAAATCTGGATAGACTTAACTATGGTATGATTACTCTCATTCCTAAGGAACCGGAGGCCAAAACTCTTTAAGAAGTTCAGGCCAATTAGTTTGCTAAACTTTAGCTTTAAGATTTTTGGAAAAATGCTAAATAATAGACTGATAGGTTTAGCCCACAGGTTGATTGCTTCCAATCAAACTGCTTTCATCAAGGGAAGGTATATCTTGGAGAGCATGGTTGCAGCTCATGAGATCATCCATGACGTGCATAGGAATAAGGAGGAAGGGATTATGCTTAAGCTAGATTATGAAAAATCTTACGATAGGGTGAGCTGGAGCTTCCTTGAGGACATGCTCAAGTCTAGGGGTTTTGGTGATAAATGGATCAGCTGGATCAAGAGGGTTGTTAGGGGGGCTCATTATGCATTAGAATCAATGATGAAAACAGTACCTATTTTAAACCTGGCAAAGGTTTGAGGCAGGGGGACCCTCTCTCCCCACTCCTTTTCAATCTAGTAGCAGATGTGTTTTCTAGGATGCTTATGAAAGCTGCCAAACAGAATTTGATTTCTGGTCTCATGCTTCAGGTGGTAGATGGGGGCATTATTAGTCTACAGTATGCGGATGATACTCTATTGTTTCTTGAAAACAATCTGGAAAAAACAAACAATTTAAAGTGGCTGCTAATATGTTTTGAACAAATGTCAGGCATGAAAATCAATTATGATAAAAGTGACCTTTTGACTATTGGGTTAGAGGAGGATGAAGCAAACTGCTTTGCTAAGATCTTCTGTTGTAAGAGTAACTGATTTTCCTATAAAGTACCTGGGTGTACCTCTTCATTACACTAAATTGAAAAGACAAGATTTACAACCCATCATTGATAAGATCATTAAAAGAATTTCTGGGTGGAAAGGTAGGCTTTTGTCCTATGCAGGCAGACTGACTTTGCTCAAAGCCTGTTTGGCAAGTATCCCAATTTATTTGCTTTCTGTCATTAAGTTTCCAAGATGGGCGATTGACATGATCAATTCACAAATGGGTCATTTTCTATGGAATGACAGTGTTGATCATCATAGGTATCATTTAGCTAATTGGCAGTTGGTCTCACAGAAAAAGGACGTGGGAGGCCTAGGTATTCCTGATATGAGGAGTCTCAACCTAGCTTTACTAGGATCTTGGATCTTTAGGTACCAGTTGAATAACAATGCTATCTGGAAGAACATAGTTGATTTCAAATACAAAACCAAAGATCCTAATGTGTTTTGCTGCCCAAATGTTGGTACATCACCTTTCTGGAAAGGGGTAATGTGGGCCATGCAAGCTGCTCATATGGGCATTAAGTGGGTTATTGGTGATGGTAGGAAGATTAGGTTTTGGGAGGATTTATGGATAGGCAACACCAGTTTAGCTATTGCATATTGGCCTCTATACACTATTAATGAGCAGCAAGGAAAAACTGTTCATGAGGTCTGGGATGGGGAAAATCTGACGTTAACTTTTAGAAGGAATGTATCAGCTAACACTATGAACCTTTGGTGGGAATTGTGTAATCTGGTTGAGTCAACCTCCCTCTCTGAAGAGGAAGATCATATTCTATGGAGTTTCATGTCGACAGGTAAGTATTCAGTGCAGTCTTTGCATGCAGTGGTTAACCACAGGGGCGTTGTTCCGCAGTTTGTGAGCTCAGTTTGGAAGATTACCATTCTACCAAGAGTGCAATTCTTTCTTTGGCTGCTATCTAAGAACAGATTATTAACAAGAGATAACCTCGCCAAACGCAGGGAAGTTAGTGACCCTTCTTGCATGTTCTGTAATGATCATGAGTCGATTAATCATCTCTTCTTTGATTGTTGTGTAGCTAGAAATATTTGGCTGACTATCTCTGAAGTGTTGGGTCATAATATGGGTACCTGTTATGAATCTGTTGCCAGATTCTGGATTGCAAATAAGCGCCACATGCTTACCAATATTATTGCATCGTCTGTACTTTGGTCCCTATGGAAACTAAGGAATGAAATGTATTTTCAGGGGATTACATGGATAGGGTTGGGAAGAGTTTTGTTCAGGATCGTCAAGATGGTGAGAAGATGGGTACCAATGTTCAAGCCGGAGATTTGACTGCAAGTGGAGGAGATAGCTCAACAACTGGAGATCAGAGCAAGCTCACCGCCTCAACTGCAGTGGAGGGACTCGACAGAGACAAGTTTATCATCAGAGTTGGAGCCATCGGGTGTTCAACCTTTAGTCTCAACAAGTGTAGCTTCGGGTCTGCCTAATGAGCTTTTAGATATCTCGAGTCAAGACTTGTTTCAGTGTTAAGGCCATGAGGCCATGGTTTGGGCGGGCGCGCCTGTACGCAGATGCTGTTAAACTTTCTGGCTTTTGCTAATACAAAAGCGGGGTATATCAGTTTAGTAACCATGAAAACATCACCAACACCATAAAATGTATCCATGCAAACGATCACAGAGGGAACAGAAGCATGGACAGAAGCTACCACTACTACCAAAAAACTAAGCGAGAAAACGTCTGCCCAAAAAAGATCCTGCAAGCTTAATCGGGTTCCAAACTACACATAAAAAGATATAATCTATTCAAACGAAAGTAAATCTACTGTGTCTACCAGATGGTGAATAAAATCGAAATGAAGTATTTGCAAGACGCAGATGATGCCCTTGAAAAAAACTCACACCTTGGTAGTTGTGCACAATAAATACATAATATCATGATGTACCTGCTTCGGATAAACGCCTAGCTTCAGCACTTGCATAGCTGACAAATTCATCCTTTCTCCCATCTACATATGGTTGAAGTCGGTCCTTCAGGCTCTGAGTAAGCTTTCGTTCTCTTTCTCTTTGTAACTCCTGCACCATAGTAAAGTTAATTAAGTTCAACTTATAATCGGCAATGTGAATACTAAATCGAACAATACCCCAGATGCAATTGATTTAGAAAAACAGCAGAAAGAACATACTTTTATCTTTTCTTGAACCTTTGCTCTTGCCTCTTGACTGTTTGAGTTTTCCTCAACCTCCACTGAAGCTATAGATGCTAGAGCAAGCTGGCCAACATAATCTTCAAAATAGTCACTTCCAAAAAGCATCCCAAAGACAGCAGCAGGATCCACCATGTTATCCCTGAATGAATTGTAAAACAACTAAGAAAGTAAGAAAACGATTACAGAACAGGCACAAGTAATTTACTTCCCTTTTTTTGCATAGAAGCATGTGTAGCATTTTTATGAAAAGATTATGTTTCAAAAAGAGTGTTAAGATTGCAACTGAGCTTTTGAACAGCATCCGGTTGTCTGTCCTCCCTAAAACAGGCATTCTTTTAAAGCTCGCACATTGTGATGCTATCTAAGTAGGCCCTGTTCGCTTGAACTACTTCAGCAGTACTTTTCAGCCAACGAACAGTGTTTTCCTCTCATAACAAATCAGCATAAGCATCGGCAGCCAAACCAGATAAATCACTTCAATCTGAATACTCATGAGCAGACTGCCTTTTTACAGAAAACATATACCTAATATTTATCAAATATCAGAAATGACTCATGACTTACTGGGAAATACCCTCCTTTCCATACTTATCATAAGCCTCCTTTTTCCCAGGATCACTTAGGACTTGATAGGCCTCTCCAAGTTCCTGTTAAGATTAAGTGATTTAGTTAAATACTTTTAGCAGTCAAACCATACAGAGGTGATACTGATTCGTCCCGCAGATTATGCATGTACAATACCAGTCAATAGTTTGGGTATTTAAATCGGAGAAAGATCAAAATCAAACTAGTAAAAAGCAACATCCTATCACATTCAGAAAATGAAGCACCGTGAATATAACACTTTTTAGATGCTAATAACCAAACTCTGTCACATGGGAAACTAAGAATAAATGCTACCCTGCAAAGCTATGGTACCCCTAGAAAAAATCGAAGCAAGCTTTAGAACATTGATAGTTTGCTTCTATAGTCAAAAGGCCTCAATGTTTGCTGGTTTCAAAGAATTTTATCTTCCGATGGGCACAAGGCGTTCGAGGGCAGTCAATGGTTATATATACTACATATAAATAACGAATCGAACACGGAAAACCTACCTGGAACTTAAGTGCCGCGTCAGGGTTCCCGGGATTCTTGTCTGGATGCACCAGCTTCGCCTGAAGAAAACAGGCACCCAAACAATTGATTTGAGAAAGGCGAGTTCCATAGCTACCTATCCGCGTCACAACAAGCAACGGAAAACAAGAACAACCGAAGAGGGGCGCGCCGAGGCGCGAGGAGAGAGTGGGGGTCACCTTGATGTAATACGCCTTCTTGATCTCGGCGGAGGACGCGTCGACGCTGACCCCCAGGACATCGTAGTAAGCGCTGTCCTTCACCATGGCAGGCAGCTCCTCTCCTGGTTCTCGCCGGCGGCAGCTCTCGAAGCTACAGGCACCAAGAGGCGGTCATTAATGCCAGCGGCAATGGAGGAAGCCGGCGCTTAATCGACGGGGAAGAAGGGCCGGATCTTTCCGCCACGAAAGAGAGGGAGAGGTCGATACCCGGGTCGCTAGGGCCTTCTGGAAGCCTCTGGAAGGTTCCCGGGGAAGTGGAGAACCGGAATGGAATCGCCGGATTTGGGGAAATCTATCAAATCTCTTCTCTTATCCTGCTACCAAATCGTGGACGCCCGATAGACCCACGTCGCCCGTTAGCCTGCTAACCGTCCGATTAAGGCAGCTCGCGATAAGGACCGTCCAATCGAGGGCGTAACGGGTCTCTCACCCGTCAAACCTGGACGGCCGCAAATCTTCACGAACCCGCAGGCTGTTCGACTGGTGCCGGCCGGGATCAATGGCGATCTCTTCTTCACCTCTTTACATGAACGCGGACACGAAAAAAGCATTTTTCCTCCGCACAAACTGGCCAGCGGTAGTTGTTCGCGAAACCGCGACGATACGAACCAGCCAACTGCTGCCGCTCGGGCCGACTCCGGCACCTCCCTCCTCGGCTCCTTCCATCGCGGGCGCTGCGCTCTGGCCATCTCGGCGCGGTTGAGAGCCCGATGACCCCACAAGAAGTGGTAAGAATGCTGGCCTGCGACGGACCAGCCGTTCGGTCCCGCCATCCGACGCGCGCCGCGCATGGAGCATGTGCATGGCTCCTCGCTCGCCCTCGCGCCCTCTCTGCTCAGCTCCCTTGCCCTCACTCTCTCTTCCTCGCGGCAGCAAGCACCATGGCCGGCTTGAGCACTTGCCACCGTCGTTCTTGCGGTCGGCAGGCACCTCCCTATCGCCATCCGCCCCTACCCGCCTCACTCTAATCGTCCTCCGCGCATGTCACAGCATGCCGTCTTCTGCCATCATTGCAGCCGCTAAGTCTTGTGGCGTGGCAAGCAGACCCACGGACCACCTCCCGATCTTCATGGCGGGCAGCGTGCAGCTTCATGCCGGTCGGCCACCACCGCCATTGCAAGTAGCCATCCCAGCCTTCTGAAAGCGTTCATGAGTCTTCCTTTGTCGCTGGTATTTGGTTCATCGAGGTTTCCCATTTGTTTGCTTGGTGCTTGGCTCATCTGGGATCTTCCATTTGCTACTGGTGTTTGGCTCATCAGAGTTTTCTCATTTGGTGTTTGGCTCACCAGCTGCCTTCCATTTGCCGCTGATCTTTGGTTCACCACGGTTGCTACTGGTGTTTGGCTCACTCGGGTTACCTCTGGTGTTTGGTTCACCTGGGGCCTTTCATTTCTATCAACTGGTAGTTGGTTCATCAGGGGCCTTCCGTTGGTTGTCCTTTAGTCAAGAGGAGATACAGATGGAACTTCGACTTGCTTACTATAGTAATGGATACATACTGTTGGCATTGGGATTGCATCAATCTTACTGTTGAGAGATCTGACAGCTCAGCTCTAACAATCTCCTGCACAAAGAGGCAATGATCAGCCAGTGTCCAAACAGTGGCTCTGCATTGTCTTTTTCGGCAACCCAAGTGACCTGGTTTCAGAATGCAAAACGGAATATGAGTGACATGGTTTCAGAATGCAAAATAGAATGCGAGATTCACCATATAATAGCTTGTATATTTATGTGAAACCGAACTGACATCTACTACGACGACGGGGAAACTCAGAAACTAGCAAGTTGGTAAGATAATTATTTGTGCGCACATGCCAGCCATCACAAAAAACCAAAAGACAAATGTAACTAACAGATTCATATCGAATTAGAGGCTGATCATAGCACAAGAAACCCAAGAGCTACCTCCATGTCTTTTCTAAAAATTCTGAAGATGTCGTCACTCTACTGTTGCTTTAAATCTTTTTCTATTTGTTTCGGCAAGATTGAAAGGGTTGAGGACATCTCATCCAGTTTGTTGAAGTGGGATTTCATAACAGTCAGCTGATCAGAGATGCTTTTGGTGTTGCTCTCAACAAGCGCGTCGAGATCATCTTGCCCCTTAAGCTACAACGGTGTAAATAATCTTATACAAAATCACAGAAAAAATCACAAAATGAAAAATTAAGTTTTGTTGAGTTTCTCATGTAGATCAAATTAAGTTTTGTTAAGTTTCTCATGACTAGATCTATGCAGTAGATATATAATATCATATGAATTAGTGCAACTTCAAATGTTCAATATTAGCGATTTAGTTTTTCTGTCTTTATCCATTTCACGTATAGAAGTATTCTTTTCATTTACTTTCAGATATTCATACTCCAGATCTCAATTGACATCTGTATAATATTTGACAAATCAGATATCAAGCAAAGGTTTATTGTCACCAGCTAAAATCCAGCCATATGCTGTTAGTCTTAAATAACCACATCTATAACCGCTATTGCCCATTTTCAAAATTTCTATATGAAACTTGGAGATTCTAGACTTTATATGAAAATTTCTTTTACAACTAACACAATATATTCAAAATATTAAAAGACCTCGTACAGTTCTGCTACTTATCCTCAAAGTAAAAGATCAACCCTAGGTTCAGCTCCTGCACAACTGGTTCCACCCAGGTGGCCGCGCGGCAACGCCGCACGTTGCTTTCTAGTCTTCTGGGAAGCCAAGCAAAGCAGAGTGGGGGAGCGGGGAGCGGGGAGGGCGGAGGACGGAGAAGAAGTCGGGGGGACGCGCTGTCTGTCCGATGTGGTCGTGCTGCGGAGAACACAGGACAGGTTCGTGAGCTGGGGCCACGCGTCAGTGTCGTCAGTCGTCACGTCACGCGGTGGCCACGCGGACATCGGGAGGGACATGGACGAACGTCGCGAGGATGCGAGCTGTCTGTCGGGCGCGGGCCAGGTGATTTATGGTTTCTTTTTGTGATGTGAATCCCGTGCAGGTGAGTACTGGACCAGATGCACAGCTGGCTTCGTTTGGAACACAATGATGTTTAAGAAATATACCTACTATATAGTTGTATAATAGAATATAATTTTTTCCCACATCTTAAAGGATGATGAATTTCATTTCCATACCCGGAAGTCCAGAACCCACTAGACGAACCAAAAAAACTTGTGCCAAAATAACAACCAGAGTTAACGATGACCGATATCTTTCGTGATCACCTTTGTTTTTTTTTTTTTTTTTTTTTTTTGCGATTGGTCACCTTTGAATTTTGATACCGCGTCTGCGATCATCCTAAGTTATTGATTGATGAACAAACAGGTGGAGTCGGTGAACGCGTTTTCTACGAGTAGGCCGACAAGCAGCTCCTGGGCGTCTGGGCCGTTCCTCCGTGGGCCGCGGCAACACCACAGTGCTAGGGAGCCGCGAGCCCACGGACAGCCCGCGTGACGGATAAAACAGGCGCATTGGGCTGGGCCAGGCCTTTCTGTGTGGCAGGATTGCTGTGGCTCCTCCTCCCCTGCTGCAGTGGTGGTGAACCCGGTGACTGGTGGACAGTGACTGATGCTGTGAATGTGATGCAATCATGCAAGAGCAGCAAGACCATACTGCTTTTCCGGTCGTTTCCTCGAGATGCCGTCCTCGTGTCGCCGCCGCCCGTGCTGCTTGTGCTTCTGCCGTTTAATTTCTTCCTTCGTCTCTGGCGTTGATTCAGATCTCCCGACCAACCTCCCTTTCATCATGTCCTTGCTTCATCATGACAATTGAGTACAGTATATTGACAAGTCTGCATCTTCCTTGTCGAAAAGCTAATTCACCACAGCAGTAAGCCAGTAATAAGTGCAAGTCTGCAGTTTTCTCCAAGTCTATACTCTGTGGCAGTGATGGGATCAGAGTCTCAGGGCTATGGACGGACCGCTGCTCCTTGAACTTGAAGCGCATCAGCTCTCGCCAACTGCTAACCTGGTCTGGATGTCCGCATCCTCCGGTTGCATGGCAGCTGTGCCTAAACTCCTTTTTGCAACTCCTTTTTCTTTTTTTGCAAAACCCTTTTGTTAACTTTTTAGGTGAGCGTTTCTGCCTGCTGCTCAATGCAATATAATAGCGGGGTCCCAACCTTTCGTCGATCTGTACACAACACAAATGCAACTGAGGCTTGCCAAACGTCGATCTGTACAGAAGCAAATGAATTGACAACTGAACTGAACTGTCTGTCCTGCAGCTGATTCCAGTGCATCAGGGAGAACGCCGGCTGAAGTTGCCTGTCCTCAACTGTCAACTCCAATGCTTCCCTTTTTTTCATTATCTAAAAAAAAACTCCAATGCTTCCTTTATGTTTCATTATTCAAAATGCAGGGTCAAAGAACGAGTAGTCAGTGGTGTCGTGTCCTCTGGTTGGCAAATCTAAAAGAATCGAGCGTTCCAGCATTCAGTTCGTGAGTTGCATTAACACCCTTAATAATTATGAGTTTTCAAGAAAACGATTAAAGGAGCAACTGCCCCAACAGGGACCGACCCCCTAATCTCCTCGAGCTAACGGCAGACAAATCGCTCATTATAAAATCGTCAGTTGTTTCGTTTGAGGTGATTATCCTATAAATCTATATTTCGTAGTGGATTCTGTATGTGCTCCCATTATGTCGAACAGATCCAGCAGGCGTGTTATTCCCTGAGCACCTACCACTACCGTTTCTTGGAAAGTTCTTGGCCTTTGTGAATCCATGCGTGGACCACAAGCCGGATTGTTTATCCCCATTTGAAAATTTAAATGAATATTTGTTTGGAACCAGTCGTGTCTGTACTGTAAGCCCCTTTCTTGGTTCAAATGAACAGAGATTTTGCTAGTGCCTATTAGCTACTAGTAGTAGATAGGAAATGTCATCTATCATATCATCAAAATATTGCAGAATTCATGAATTAATGTAGGGTTACGTGGCTTTGATAAGCTTAGACCTTAGTTGCTTGCCAGTTGCCACTGCTAGGTATGCAGCTGATTCAACCATCTTTATAGATCAAAACTCGGTGCATCAGCATCACAATGAAGCAAGATTGGAACG